AAATTTATACTTTTCTTATGAAAATCATGAATAATTATTAAAGAAGTATGGTTATGGTACCTAGGGAACTACCCTAGGATCTATATTTTTAACATAAAAAATCCATCGCCTAGGCGGACGCCTAGGCAACTAGGCAACAAGGTGCCCCCCAATCGCCTAGCCTCGCCTTGGCGCCTTGAAAACTATGCAGCACATTATCATCAGACTTGGCAATTCATTTATTAAACTTCTTTGTGGAAGAACTATACTTTCTTAATTTCCTTTTCAATTCAAGACCATGCAAAGAAAGTTGTCAGTAATTTTTAACTGGCCTTTTGTGCTTTCCTATTCAGCATAGAATGGTTACGTAACTAATACACACTTACACAGATAATGAGACAACGTTGTAATTAAATTCAGGTAGATGCATATTCATTTATATACCTTTATGGATTATGGGGCGGACATTCAACATATCTACACATTCACATGATTATAAAAACTCAATATCAATTTACCTCCCAATGAATTCCCTAGAAACTCCTCCTGGAAGAGCTCGAGAAATAAATCTAGCAGTAGTTGGCCTTGCATTGATTGTGAGGAACCTCACCATTTGAGCGGAACTCACCAAACCCTGAAGTGAAAATTACAATCAGTTTCTCATTTAGTCTTTTTTGCTTCCTTCAAATTAAATCACAGAAACCACATTTACCATTTCATATGCTTGACGGAGTCCAGCAGGCAAATCCATCATCGTTTTATGCCACTCATGCAAAACTGCATCTACAAATTTTCGATCAAAAAGCTGCAACAAGAGAGACAAATCATTAAAGCAATCAACTTTCTAAGTACATATACTTAGCTAGAAGAAAGCACCTAGCTTTTCATGAATAAAAGAAAGAGCAGAATAGGTATTCGTAACCTCTTCAAAGACAAGCCGCATCCTAAACAATCCACCCTCATCTCCTTCATCTCCATCATCAAAGTCACCAATGTAATCATCATCATCACCACCATCATCACCACCATCACCGCCACCATTATTAATTTTCTTGCCAATGTCTCCACCCCCTCCTCCAATTGCAGTCTACAGTATTCCAAGAACTAGAGTCAGCTTCCATGTATTCAAAACAACTCATATGAATGTGTAGCTACCTCAAAGTCACTAAGTCACTTTCAGGTATTAACAGATATCTTGTATTAATCCAAAATCAATTTAAAAATCTTCCAAGGAAAGAATTGAAGTTTTAATTATTGCAGGAATTCTACAGAAGATAAGTACAATTTTGTTACATTTAGAACATACATGCAGAATGTAGCCTTTAGGTACCATGCAATCCTATACACATGAAAGACAACATGCTCCGAAAACAATGGTTTCAAAGCCTTAAAAAAAATGCTGCGTGAAAAATCTAAAGATGATAAATTCAAGGATGCAATTAGAGTGATGATGTTATACTGGAACCAGATGGCTCCAATTTGGTACTTGTAAATTAAGCATTTTATCTCCACATCATAGTTTATGAAGTGGCTATTATGCAACAGCATCTTCATTAATATTAATTTTAACAGTGGATATGGCTTTAAATAGAACGGATTGGCAAAACAGGATTCATGTAGCCAACTTCATACAGTTGGGGTAAGGCTTGGACAATGATGATGATGATCTTCATTAATATTAATATTGAAATAATAGTAATTGGTTAATGGTTATGTTCTTTAGGAAAAGAAAATCAACAGGTTCATGTGTGGCCATAGACAACACTTTTTTATCCTTAATAAATCAGAAAAAAAAATCAAGCAGTAATAGGACCCATTTGTGGCTTACCCAGCCAAACTACAAACAAAGCCCAACAATTTATACAGTAGGGTAGACCAAAATACAAGTTATGATACCTACATATAGATATTGCTACAAACATGGATACAGGAAACAGAGATATGGCTTTCTGTGTCAAACTCTGGAAACTGATAAAGGTACAAGTATTCCAACGATATGATTATATCATGGTTCTATATCTGGTTTTTGAAATCAAGTGTCACCTCTAAAGGCTTATGTCTTGCTAACTTTTATTTAAATTTCCAACATATACAGATTTTTTATAGTACTGATGTTTTTATTGGTTATAGTATGATTTGTTTAAACATAAAAATTTACATATTTTAGTAGTGTTAATGTTATGGAGTATACCAGTGTTCATGCAATATCTAGTGTCATAGCAGGTGCATATCATGTCCCACACTGGTAAAGTAGGCATGTATAGGTAGCCAAGTATCAAAAATACAAATCCACCTATGAACTCCCCCTTTTGCAAACAAGTCACCAAGAGATTTTTAATCTTTTAACCCATTTTAGCAAGGCATTTGTACTTGTAGATGGAGATCTTGCTTCCCCAATTGTATGTCATAGGACCCAGGGTCACAGGGTCCATTATCTTCATTTGACATCCAACTCATCATCACTTGAAAATCTCCCTTAGCCTCCAGAAAAGATATAGTATGAGATATAAAACCTTTAGTCCTTGAAGGAATGATAGTATACTAAGCTCTCAAGGCATCCGTACCTAATCAACCTGAATAGACTTGTAAAATATTTCCATTTTGATTTTGGATTGCACCACCTATTTCAAATCTTCTCATGATTCCAATGGAGCAACAATTGAAGCATGGCCACGGAGATTACTTTCTCCATTTTTACTTCTCTACAAGTTAGATAACTGCATGTTCATAAAAATGGATGAGTTTTGGTGGATTTATAGGTTTAATTTAAGGGTTCTGTTCTGAACAAAGATGTTCATTTTAAGGTCAGAAGAAGGTTTTTTTCTATTATAAAGATAAATTCCATTTACAGAAAAAGAATTACAAGAATAAAATGAAGAGGCTTCTCCTTTACAAAAGGAAACAGAGAAACAACAAAAAGAATACAAGAAAAAACAAAAAACAAACAAAAACAAAAAATAAAAACCAAGCCCATTGATTACATAACACACATCCTCTGTAATAATATCCAAAATCCCAAATAGACCACAAATCAATGCTCAATGCTTCTCAATGAATATCCTCAAACTCTATTAACCACTCCGAAAACATTGAGAATATTTCAGCCACAATTCTTCTATTGAATTGCTGCTTGACTTAAAAAATGTAACCGTTCCTTTCTTTCAAAATCTCCCATAACACCAATTCTTCTATTGAATTGCTGATTGCATTAACAAATGCAACCATTCCTTTCTTTCTAAATGTCCCAAAATACCACAAAAGAAATGATGCTTCAAACAGTTTTGCTCTCTACGCTAGAAAATGGTGGCTAAATATCTCACGTTTACAACTAGGACTAAAAAGTGGACTTCTAAATAATCAAGAAAATAAAACTAATGAAATTCACTACTCTAAAAGTTAACAGAGAAGTCTTACACAAATCCAAGTTAACAGTGAAAAGAAAACCCTTGGTTTTAGAGAAGTCTTGCAGTAATCCAACTAATGACAACTACCACAGAAATGATGATCTCATGTATTTTCATACTAAACTTCCTATCTGGGCAGATGAGCTCTTCAAATACACATCTAGAGACTCATACAATTACTTCAAACCACCGTGCGATCTTTTATCAGTAAGCAATGTAAAGTTTCAGCCATGGAGAAGTCCTTTTTTTGTTTGCTTTTTTTTTTTTGGTAATAGAAATACCACTTCTTGGTACATTAATTTCCTCCCTTGAATCATGATAAAAACAGAACCATGTTAGCTTTCGAAGGGCTAATACTTCCTAAATATCACACAACAATATCTTTAAAGATAACATTATAGCCTACAGCTCCCACCTCCACCCCCCAATTACCCAGAGGACAAACTGGTTCTTCAAAGGAGGTTTACTAGATGCTTAATTTTCTGAAAGATACTTAATTAGTAGTTTTAAAAATTCATGAGGCTTAAACCTTGCAGAATATGTTACATGT